CCATGGCCCCAAGCCCTGTCTGTAGTAGCTTTTTTTTCAAATAGATTATAATGATACATGTTATGTCCAGCCTATCCAAGGCTTTATCGCTGGATGAAGAATTTCCCAGCTCTGCGCGGCTTGATCCTTCAGTGCCTGATGGTCGTCGACGTCACCGCCCTCGCCCTCGGCTCTGCATGGCCGAGGCTGCAGGAGATCCTCTTGGCGAGCCTCTGCATTGATTTATTAGAAATATTTGATTCTGGACCTTTAGCTTTAAGTTCAGGGCTAGGGTATAGGGTTCACTGTTTGATTTAGGGGTTGGGGCTGTCGCAGGATGAGGCAGCAGGAGCTGGTGGAGCCGCTCCGGGTCTGTGCCCACAACGTCCTCGCCCGCTGCATTCGCGACGGCCTCTTCAAGCCGAAGCCGGGCGAGGCGGACTTCCCGCCGGCTCCCACAGCGCATCAGGCAAGGGCTGATGTCAAAACAGTTCGGAGGGTTGCGCACCCCCCTAAACCCTCAATATTTTATTAAACCCTAAACTTTACTTTTACTGGCCTTGTCACAGGAAGTGCCCCTGACGCCCACGACCCCGGGTTCGGCTTCGAGGCAGTGGGCATACTTTGGGGTTTAGGTTTAGGGGAGTTCGCTTGTTTCAGCCACGCAGGCCGCAGCGCGAGGCCTCGCCTGAGCCACCGCCCCCGTCCTCGCGGGGCAGGTCGCGCTCAAAGGCGCGGCACAAGGACTCAGTGGATTGATTATTTATTATTAACAACTAATTATAATAATGTAAGGCATTGGGGAATAAGGCTTGGAAGGGGTTTAGGGCGTAGAGTTTGGAGCGGAGGGTTCTTGGGTTTTCCATGCTGCCCCTTTCAGGAGCGAAGGCCCTCGGAGAAGGACAAGAAGAAGGGCAAGTGACGGCGCTGGCGGGCTGAAAAAAGTGTCTTCTGTTTCCTCGTTGACTGATCATTCATGTCACTGTCCTGCATCACATGTGACTCTTGTGTCCAGCTTGACTTGCGCACAGGACTTATCGCCTTGCCGCTACTGCCAGCAAGTACCTCAGTCGTTCAGCTCGTAATTTGTCGCATCGGTAGCGACCAGACTTCATTTTCTTCAGACCTGGATGTCGTTCGCACATGATGTTAGCTCTGGCACGTTTTTTCTGTGCAGTTTGCTGAGTCTGGAATCAGACAGAATGAGTCAACACTCAGTGTTTGAGAGATGGCGACATGTGAGTCATGACCTCATTTTCTTCAGGTGTCTTCCCACAGTCAAAAGGCGACACGGATGTCGGGCCCTCGTGTTCAACATGATGTTAGATTAGCCTGGGCATGGCTTTCTGGGCATGTTAGTATTCAATCGTCCTCGCCCTTGTTATCTGAATCTCAGTGTCGAAAGGGTGTCTCAGGTTTCACTGTCAGAGTCATTGACACTGGCACATGTTCGATTTGCTTTTCATACCCGTGGACAGGGACACCGCTGCCCTCGCTGCGCAATGCCACGAAAGGCACGGGGCATCATTCCGAAGTGCTTTTTGCTCGCCCTCGGATGCTGCAGGCATGATTTAGTAATTTAGTCTAGTAGTACCGCGACCAGCGTTGCATGACATGCCGCATGCTGGTAAGATGATGATTGTTTGTTGAATGTGCAGTTTGCCACGAGCTGCGCAGCAAAACAGTGTTTTCCTGAAACGAGGACGAGGGCCTGTGCCCTGCTGAAACGAGGATGAGGCCTGCCCGCTGACATTGGGTCACTTTCTGATTCTGTGGCCATGAAGTCAGTCGAGTGATGCTGACTTTAACGTCAACTCATTGAGTCATGTTCGAAGACTTTCCTGGGCAGGGCACTGTGGCAGTGGCTGCAGTCAAGGCAGGACAGTGGTGCTTTTGCCGCACGATTGTGCCGAGATTAGCATTGAATTTGAATTGAATGGATGCCAGCTGACTTATTGATGATGCATGCTGCAACGTGTCGGATCATTGATGGATATTGAAAGCTTGGCAGCCCTCGTGTGTCTGGGCTTGCAGAAAACATGGTGGCCAAAGCCCAGCCGAGAAGGACCAAGGGCAATTGGGGGTTCTGTCCCTGCAGCCTCAGTGTTGGGGTGGGTGTCCCTGAGGATAACTCCTGGTGGAAAGACCATGCGCATGCTGCGGCAGAAGGCCGACCGAAATTTCTGATTTTAGAGTGATGGCTCGCCGTGTAATACCTTGGGCTGAAAAGGCACAGGCTGGCTTGAAGCAGCGGCAGGACCTCCTAGGATTGGTTAAGAACCTTGTCTGTGCTCAGACTTCGTTTAATCATAAATTATTCTTAGTTCAACTGCACGGCATTGCTTGGGCCAACTGAGGGTGCCCTCGACCATACGATATGCTGCAGACTGCTGTGGTTACGACACTGGCGTCAAGGGCTCAGAACTTGAACTGACTGCTCGTTCTTGGAAGGCGATTCTTTGATAATTTCAAGCCTGTTAGCGTGAATCAGTCTCCAAGTGAGGCCCTCGCCCTCGCATTCATGGGCGTGAAGTTCAAGATCATTCATACAACCGAGATCGATGATGAAGTTCAGACAATGAGGGATGTTGTTCACAGGAGAATAACGTCCTCGGCTTCGACAATGCGCAGGTCCTGGTGCCCGCCCATGTCCTCGAACGACATGTGCTCCAGGCCCTCGCTGGCAGGAGACGATCTGGACCTGTACATTGGCACCAGTCCTTGTCAGGACTTCAGTTCGGCAGGCTTGAAGAAGGGCTCCTGGGCGTCAATTTGGGTTCAGTCGAGTCATCGTGATTTGTGAAGCTTGCATTCTGACAGTCAGTGAACTCAGACTCAAGACGAGGTTCAAAGGGCAGTCAAGGGAAGCTGTGGTGGGTGCAGCTGGAGCATATCCTGGACGAATCGCCCCGCGTGCCTGATCAGACCATTGTTACTAGTGTCACGGTGTCGCATTGTCAAAAGTTGCTGCAGGTTATGTGGACATATATAAATAAATGAGGCCTTCGTCATCGAAAATGTCCTCGGCCTCGCCCAGCGTTTCCCTGGCGTCCTCACAACTTCCCATGACCTGCTAAGAGAGGCTGGTTACGTCAGACACTGAGGTCTCTGACGAGTCTATGGACTCGGACTCGTCGTCAAGAAACTGTAGCTTCCAATCCAATACTTCCATCAGACGGGCAGGGGCTTTAGTAATCCTCAAGGTCGTGCAGCAGGGCATTCTCGACACATCAGAGCACGGCATCCCACAGCGTCGCCGCCGACTATTCCTAGTGGGTGTGCGCAAGGACTCCTTGAGCTACAAGGGCCCGGCCGAGTGGCTGCCGCGACCCATAAAGGCAGGAATCCCGAAAAATGAGAGGTGTGGTGATTCTGATGGCTTGGCAACACGGTGGCTAAAATAAGGCACTGCCACTGGCCGGCTTCGTGCAGAGTGAGCCTTGGCCCGGTCAGCACGCCCTCGACCTCGACAAGCAGACTCGGACATTCCAGAGAAACATCATGGCTGTCCCTTTGACTGACAAGTTGAGACTGTGGCCGCTTCGTTTCTTTGTCAGGTCTGTCACTGTCAGTGACATAATTAATAATCCTGCCTGCCTAAGGCAAAGAAGAAGCTGGGCAAACAGTACCAGGCCCCAGGCACACTTGTGGACGTGGCGGCAGGGCAGCACAAGGCCATTGGTCGAGGCCTGTCACCGACTATAACGTCCTCGCGGGGAAGGTATGCAGGGGCAGCCTACTATGTGCCCAGCCGTCGCACCTGTCTGGTCTTGCACGAGCTGGGGAGGCTCACAGGACCAGGGCTTGCAATGATTATTGCACAGAAGCCACCCAACAGTTTAAGACTGTCTACTCCAGTCCAGTCTGCGGCTAGATCACAGGACTGCCAGACAGTCTGGTGACATCCTTCTTGACCTCGCCCGCGCCCACCTCCTTGTCACCGTCTGCCGTCGGGAAGGCTTTCGGAAATGCAGTTTCCAGCAATGTCATGGAGAGGGTGCTTCGCAACGTCTTATTGGCGGCTGGGTTGGTCAAGAAGGAGCTGCCAGATTATTGGGGTAATGTCTGCAGGCCAGACTGGCGTAGTGTCACCTGCTTCATAGTTCTTAGTACTGCTTGCTGGTCAGGTCAGTGGCAGGGAGGAAGCACCTGACCTCTGAAGAGGCCCACTGTGTTTCGACTCAGTCCTGAGGTGTCGTTATTTGTGGTCCCCCAGGTGCAGAAGATCTTAGAGCGGCAATGGCAATGACTCTTGGACTTCTTGCCCTCGACCTCAGACAGCAAAATTGCAATCACACACATGTGCCAGGCTGCCTCTCAGGCTGAAGTGTGAGCAAGGATGCTGGGAGAAGCATTGTCATCATTCCTTGATGCCGCGTTTTCAAGTGAGCGAGCTGTGTAGTTCTACGGTCAATTGAAATTGTGAGTGGCCTGCCTTGACAGAGTGTCACATTCACATTACTAAGACTAGTACTTTCAAAGAGACTCATGATAACAATTAAAGGCATATCCAACTGAAACTGGCAGAATTCAATTAGTTAACACAGTCAGACAGTAGGTCAGTCTTGTGGTTGAAGTTCTGTTTAAGTTTATGGCCTTTCGCGATGTCCTTGGGGTCCTCCTCGTCCTCGCGATGCCGCAGTCCGGACGGCGCACATGCTGCCAAGTGCATGAGGAAGAATGGCCAGGATCCTAAGCGACTTGCCGACGGTAAAAATAAGCGTCCATGTCATTGTTGTTTCTGCGGCGATGCTGCTACCATCTAAGGGCATGCCATCGGAGCTGCTTGAGGTGCCTATGGTTGAAAAACAGACATCGTTGGCAAAAGAGGTTTCTTGATCGCCTTTACCAGAGCACGAGATCTGAAGTACCTTGCATTTTTGTCAGCGCTCTGGCAGCGAGGTTTAGCTGGCTCGTGGAGTCTCCGGCCACAGAGGCCTGGGGACTCGGCTGCAAGTTTTGTGCCTTGTCTACTACGGCATCGTCCTCGCCGTGGAAGCTTTACAAAAAAGGGCAAGCAGGCGTGCTTCAAGTGAAGGACTTTGCAGACCACGAGATGTCCCACATGCACAAAGAGTCCTTGGAATTGGCATCTGCCCCGCCTGTGGCCTCAACCTCGTCCTCCTGTGGGCCCTCGACCTCCCCAGAGTCCTCGTGCCCAACTGCGGCTTTGATCCGGCTGTCGATTGAGGTGGCGTCCTGCCCAGTGGGGGCCCAGGGTTTGGAGTCTGGTCTGCCAGATTGATGAATCGAATTAGATTATTTTTAAATTAGTTGGTTTCCTGAAGTCATTCCAATCTCTTAATCGAAGTTTGTTCTGGATCCAAGGAGTTCAGCCGCAAAGCAGAACTGGCATCACGAAGTGATCCCATGAACTTTCCGCCGGCACTTTGCGACCGACAGAAGCACGGCAAGATGATCCAAGCCATTGCCCTCGTCTTGCCACCTGGCAGGCTGTTGAGGCTGCTGCGTAATTTGTGTCATTTTTTTTGGATTTCCTCCTGCTCCAAATCAGTCAGGTTTAACGAGGACAGAGAGCTGCTGGAAAAGAAGAAGGTGCTCAGTGTTGGATGGGCAGAGGACAGGGAGACATCATTCAACATGAGATTCAGATTCAACCATGAATCCTGCCAATAATCGGTTCGTTGTCACAGGACGTGGCCGATGGTATTTGCATGGTAAAGTTGAAATTCTGCATGAGCGACTACACTGTGCAGCGACGGCTTGGAGACTTGCGGAACATTCACGGACAGAAGGCAATCATGATTGTTTCAGTCAATGTGTCAATCCGTGTCATGTTCGCCGCAGAATGTGATTCCTGATGTCTTGTCCACCATTGACCAAGTACTAATAGATTTTTCATACGCTTGCTCAGACTGCCCTCGCCAAAGTCCAGCAGATCGAGGAGACAATCAAATTTTGGGATCGTGAGGAGCTTCGCCCTCGCACACAGGCAGGAATAATCATTTATTGCAAGTAGATAAAGTTCATAGGAGTGCGTCATAGTTCAAGTAATAAATAACTTCCCTGCTGCACAGTCCTGGACCTCGGATGGCGAAGGGGCAGAGCTCCTGTGTGGCCGTCTCAGCAAGGACAGGCTGAAGCGTGTGGGTTGGGAATGTGTTTAATCTTCCTGACGAGTAGTCCGTGATGTTAGTTGTAGCCGCCGTGTTGGAGTTGACTTTTAATTAGTCAGACAGTGTAGTGCCTAGTAGTTGTTGTCGTCGTAGTACTTAGTAATTTGATTTAATAGGGTAGTAGTCAGTAGTAGTAGTAGTAGTAGTAGTAGTAGTAGTAGTAGTAGTAGTAGTAGTAGTAGTAGTGGTAGTAGTAGTAGTAGTAGTAGTAGTAGTTAGTAGTTAGTAGTAGTAGTAGTCAGTAGTAGTAGTAGTAGTAGTAGTAGTAGTAGTAGTAGTACTTAGTAGTAGTAGTCGTAGTAGTAGTAGTAGTAGTAGTAGTAGTCAGTAGCAGTAGGAGTAGTAGTAGTAGTAGTAGCAGTGGTGGTGGTAGTGGTAGTGGTAGTCGTCGTAGTCGGAGTAGTCATAGTTAGTCGTAGTAGTCGTAAGCAGTAGTAGTTGCAATAGTAGTCGTAGTCGTATCCAGACAGTAGTAGGGATTAGTAGTAGTAGTAGTAGTATTAGTACTGGTAGTCAGTAGTAGTAGTAGTAGTAGTAGTAGTCGTAGTCGTAGTAGTAAGTAGTAGTAGTAGTAGTAGTAGTAGTAGTAGTAGTAGTAGTAGTAGTAGTAGTAGTAGTAGTAGTAGTAGTAGTAGTAGTAGTAGTTATAGTAGTAGTAGTAGTAGTAGTAGTAGTAGTAGTAGTAGTAGTAGTAGTAGTAGTAGTAGTAGTAGTAGTAGTAGTAGTAATAGTAGTAGTAGTAGTAGTAGTAGTAGTAGTAGTAGTAGTAGTAGTAGTAGTAGTAGTAGTAGCAGCAGCAGTAGTAGTAGTAGTAGTAGTTGTGGTATAGCAGTAGTAGTAGCAGTAGTAGTAGTAGCAGTAGTAGTAGTAGTAGTAGTAGCAGTTAGTAGTAGTAGTAGTAGTAGTAGTAGTAGTAGTAGTAGTAGTAGTAGTAGTAGTTGTGGTATAGTAGTAGTAGTAGCAGTAGTAGTAGTAGTAGTAGTAGCAGTAGTAGTAGTAGGCAACAGGAGCTCCTGTGATCCATTCTTGCTTGACTTGAATGAGCTTGATTGATTGTCATGATTCATGATTGCTCTGCTTGAGTGCCAGTCGGAGGTCGCCTTACCTGAGGAGTCAACCCCTGCCCCATCATCTGGGTTGCTCCCCACACCATTGGCCGGGTGTGAGGCGTTCGGCTTTGCCTTGAGGCCAACCTACCCCACGGCAGGGGGGCAGATGACAGCCGGGCATATGGGCTAATGCGCCGTGCTGGGGCAAAACTGGTTTTGCTGGTTTGGCCAGGCCAGACTCCAGACAGTCCGAACAAGACAGGGAGGCCGCTCGTTCTTGTGACATGACATGGCTGTGTTGACTATTGGCATTTGGCATGGTTGGACCATGAGCGGATCACAGTCTCAGAGGCTCCTGTTGGCTAGTAGTAGTAGTAGCAGTAACAGTAGTAGTAGTTAGTAGTAGTAGTAGTAGTAGTAGTAGTAGTAGTTGTAGTAGTAGTAGTTAGTAGTAGTAGTAGTAGTAGTAGTAGTAGTAGTAGTAGTA